GGGGGGGGGGCGGGGGGGGGGGGGGGGCTCAATTGGTGACGACGGGAGTCCGACAGTGACCAATTGGCCATGCTCAGCCGAAAATTGGCAGCACGTCGCGTACCAGGGCAGAGGCATAGGTGCCATCGAGGCCGAACACAGCAATCGGGGGCTGGCTATCGGCAGCGGCAGCAGCAGCAAAAGACCGCACGGGAGCTGCGCGCAGGGTCACGGCTCGCTGGGGAGCAGCGGCGCGGGCGGCACGGAAGACTTGTCGGGAAAGCATGGCGAGGTTCCGGACGGGAGATGGTAGGTTGAGAGGAGGGGGAAGGGCGATTCGACGGTGTTGATGTCGGCGTTCGTGGAGCTGCCGGTTTTCGTGATGAGGTTGTTCGGTGTCGGCAATTTTGGATGTTGGTGCCTTACGGGGTGAGGCATCCGCAACAGGCTATGGTCCCACTTTTCTCGAACTGAGCCGGCTGTTCCCGTGCTGTGCTGAAGCATCAGTCAACACTACTATGCACGTGAATTTATTCTCGACGTTTAGGACATACTCGTATTCATGTTTACGTTATTAATTCGTGCTCTCAATGTCTATGCCTTCATGCAATATCTCGTGCTCGTTGTAGCTGGGGGTGCATGGGAGCTCATGCTCGGAGGCCCAACGTCTGTATCCTTTTCCATCCTTGGCCCCTCCAAAAACAAAAAAAAAAGAAGAAATCAGACGACAAAACAATACCAGCATTCCCAAACGCCAGATGACCCATGATTCGTACAAGAAGAGCTCATTCATCACTTAATTCAATGCTTAGTCGCTCTTGAGCATGCTGTCAACAAGATCACCCAGAGGGCCCCAGTAGTCTCTACCGCTTGCCAGGCTGTGCTCATCAATGAAGAGCACATATTGCTTGAAGCTAGTGTTCAAGTGCGGCTCCAGGCCGAGCTCTCGAATTACAGGGTAGTGGTGGCAGTAGATGTGGGCGTATACTCGGTACATGCGCTTGAAAATTTGGCGGACAAGAGCCGGGAATGACTTGGGGAAGGGAACGCCTGTGTCTCGTCGTCAGCACTTTGCCAGCTTGACACATGTGAAGCTGCAAAACTCACCAATTTTGCTTGGAAGAACAGATTCGTTGTCAATGTTGGATTGTACCCATGTCATTAGTTGCTCGATATACGCTGGGGCAGGCATCTTGGTCGGTCTCTTGTAGTTTTCGTTGTCTTGCCAGAGATATTCAAATCTGAAACGTCAGCACCTCGCCTAATCCCAACGCAACATTCGGGGGTCCGTACTCGTCTGTTGCCTTCATCTCGGGGCAGGACTGAGGCGAGCAAAACTCGGTAATGGCTCCGTAGAGCAAGTTGATCTGGTTGTAGAAATCCACCACTGTCATGGTCAGCACGAAAACAGTTATACAGTCTTGTCAGAACCAGGATAACCCACTGTTTACCGCCAGCCACTCGTTCTCGTCCTCGCCTTCGGGCAGCTTGACAACTTTTCGCAAGCTACCACCCCCCAATGTGACTTCAGCGTACTGTCGCAGCTGGTAGCTGGTGGCGCCGCCCTTTCCCACGCGAGGACGGAACTGATTCTTAGTCCGCTGGTTACTATTCGTTGCCATGGCGTCAGCAATCACAGGTTCGGTTGTGGGCATCGTGGGGGTGTCGGCATCATCCTCGTGGACGGAGATGATGGTGTTGTCCAGCGAGAGCATAGTGGCGATGGAATTGGGGCTCAGGTAACGGAAAACGGCGCTCGCCATTGCGGTCATATTGCATGATGGTGCTTCTTTTTGTATGGAAGAAGGACTAACACGGTGGTCAGAAACTGGGCCATGGTGGCGGTGCTCAGCGTCGTCGAGGATGGAGAGAGAATGCTGCGAGCCTGGCACTGGCATTCCAGTCGTTAGCGGGGCAATGAAGCGCTTGAGAAGACAGACACAGTGGCAGATTGGCCATTGCCCTCTTTTTCGGGGCCTCCAAGGGCTTGTTCAAAGTTCTCACCTGTCTGCTTCAGGAACAAGTGTAGTCTATTCCCTCAAGGCGCTCAACGCAGATGTGGTAACAATGGTTGAAGCGTAAAGATGGTGTTGGGATACGCAAGGGCAGTGATGTCGTAGTGTTTACACGCTTCCTGATTGGGCCTGGTTGCCAGGGACTGCACGCAACCGCCAACGATTGGGGCAGTGGGTTGACCGGCCGTCTGCCCCACCCGCCCACCAGGCCCACCATCACCTCCTACTCTGTTTCAGATTTCGTGATCTGTCAAGTACAGGGTAGTCTCGAAGCAGATGTCTCGAATCCAAGCTCTGAACTCAAAACAGAAGGAATCGAAATCTGATGCGGCCATCTTTTCAAGCCGTCGCCAACGGGCACCATGAAAAAGCTTAATCAATAAAACAAAGAGGGAGGGGGCATAATCACTTTGCGAGGGCTTCCCGTAGCGTATGGCGGGAGGCGGCTGGTTGCGGTTGACGACAAGACAAGTTTCTTGGTATGGGGGCGCTGTGGCAATGTGTCGCTTGTTGACATGGAGCTGGTGTGTTGAATTGGTATTACATTTTGGCTTGGCCTCTATAGTTGCATGCGCATAATGATACATTTTTCTCATGATTTACCACCTGGCCCGGTGACCATTGCCACGATTTCCGCCTCGACCTCTGCCGCCACCTCTCCCCCCGCCTCGCCCTCCTCTGCCGCCAAACCCTCCGCGACGGCCTTGGTATTCTGATGGAGGCGGCCCTTGATCTCGCCTCGATTTTCTCTCTTCTGCACTGGCACTCCAGAGATTCTTGAGCCCGAGGAGGTCGCAGAATGCCGTCGTCTGCGGGTTTGTATACTCCTCAGGCTGCTCGTCTACAATCTCCGGAGAACCGGGGACATGCGGGGGAGCGGTGAGTACAAAGTTTCCAGGGACCTCAAGCTTGCCCTTGCTCACCACGTTTTCTTCGACCCAGGCACGCTCGGCTTCAATGAGAGGCAGATAGTGCTCTTCGCCTAGGTCGGGAGGTGGCTGAGCCGTCTTGTCACCAATGCTGAGAGTGTTGTGGAAGACACGTGTGATGGCGAGCCATTCGGGGTCGTATTGCAGTTGGTAACGAGGACCCGACGATTTGGGGGGATACGCTGCTAGATCGGCCGGGTTGAAAGGTGCAATGTCACACAGTTGGAGGAAATGGCGTCCTGGGAGGCACTTGTCCAAAGCTAAGAAACGGACCTCTTTGTTCTTGATGCCCGGAGGGACCGGCTGGCCAGGTGTGCGCTTATCCTTGGGCGGTGGTTTTGCGAATGACGCAGGTAGCTGTGCGCGCAGTTGGGCAGAAACTTGGTTTGTTGCTTTGGACCCGGAAGACTCTGTGACCATGGCCGGCTTTTCGCTGCTGTTTTCGTCATCCTCCATATCCAAGTCAATCTCATCGGGATTTGCTCCTCCCTCGGGCACTGCGGCCTCGTCTCCGTTCACATTTGCGGACGGTGCCACTGGAACGGCGTCTTGATACTTTTTGAGGGCGGGGAATTTTATATGCATGTGCGCCGAGAACCAGTAGGGAGGCCGCAGGCGATCCATGACATATTCGGCGGCAATGCTTCCCAGTTGGCCATTCTGCGACTCTCTTCGGAAGTCGGGCTTCTTGCGAAACAGCCATGCGGCGTCGCCATGGTTTTCGATGTGGCGCGGCCAGTCGTGGCTGATACCAATGTCGACCTGAGTCTGCAGCAAAAGCAGTTTTCGGACATCGAGTTCCCTCACATGATAGAATGACTTGACATCATCGCCGCTAAAGGGAAGTCGCTCATGATGGGGTTTTCTGTAGTCGAAGCCCTTCCAAATGCCGGACATGGCTGCAATGCGCAGCGGGCCAAAGCGAAGAACGTTTGCGGCGCCCATGTAGTAGATATTGGGGGCTACCCATCCTCCGTAGAAGAGTTCCCAGAGGTGGGAGCTTGCTTCGTGGTTGCCGCCGACAAAGATGGTGAGATAGGGCGCAGTACGTCTGCCGGCGTAGTAGTCGGGAAAATCGCCAAGATGGCGGTACTTGACGGGGCAGGACATGATGCTGAGGTCTGCAGCATTGCGTACGGACTACAAGTATTGAGTGAAAAGTCTACTGAGAGGCAAGAAACTGCATTGCACGTACTTGGAAATCGCCGCCAATGATGAGCAGGTCTACGCCACGCCAACCGCGAACTTTGCATGATTTAGCAACGGCTGCGTAGATGGCATTGAGTGTGCCATGTCCCTGGGCTGCGTTAGCGAGAAAGCGTGTGGGCATCGGCAGAAGACACTTACGCATCCTTCAACAGCTACCCGGACGCCGTTGACCGACATGGCGCTAGAAGACAATTTTGGCCTGCGAGATGGACGCAGGTTGATTGTTGGAGTTGAGGGCGGTTTGTCAAAGTTGAGAGGTCGTCGTGGCTCCATAATTGTTGCAGTCCTGACTGGAGGCTCAGCGCCCGATTTGGTAGGAGCCTCTTGCGCCTTGCCTTGCACGTTCCGCGCTAATCAAAATACGATGCATTTCAAGAGAGTGGCAATAACCGAGTTTCTCAAAAATCCGTCACATCGCATGTAAAGTCATTGCTACATCAAATAGGCGTTTGACCGACTTTCACACAACAGTTCTTGAAGCAGCCCCTTTCCTTCCATGAAACAAGTCAGGATTTCAGTGCCAGGCATTAAATCGAGCCACTTTCGGCTTTCACCGAGAGTGCCCGTGCCCCTGTGCACAGTTCGTCGGATACACCCCTTGAAGATATCCAACCGACTCTTCAGCTACAGCAAACTCAATTTCCCGTAAATCAGTAACAAGAAAAAAAAATAGCAGCCGAAAGATCCTAAATACCTGATTAACGTCTGTGATAGCGACTGATCCGCAGAATGGCCGTTGCTGCTCGTCGAGGGGCCGCAAGTGTCTGCGTCCATATCAAGCCCTCGATGAGCGTTAACAACGCCCCTCGTCATGGACGAGACTGCAGACAAAAGTAAGAAATTGCACAACTCAGCTTGGCGCATCATGTATACCCAGATCCCTGGTTGCGCGGAGATGAACCTTTGCGTAGCCCCAGAGGTTCTTGTTCACGGTGATGGCGACAAACGGCGACCCCGCGGCAGGCTTGTAGCTGTCGACGCCGTAGGTGCTGCTGATGCTGGGCAGGCCGGCCATCTGGATCCCCGAGCAGGTATATATCAGGACGACAATGACGGGCCAGGGCCACTTGTTCTGGTATCCGACGGCGGTGACGATCTGCCCCAACGCCATGATGAGCACGTACGGGATCAGCGCGGTGAGCGGCATCTCGGGCTCGCGGATCCCGTTGTTGCGCGCCGTTGCCCGCGCCGAAACCCAGTCGCTGAAGGGGCCGGCCGCCGCGAGGCCAATCAGCCTGCCGGCCACCATGGCAAAATTGGTAAGCCCTAGTTGAGTTAGGATCGAGGAGAGCTGTTTGTTGGTCTTGACGTACCGACCGACTGCGAGCCTAGATTGTAGGGAGGCGCCGCAAAGACCTGCGACTGCGTGAGGTTCAGGATGAGCACGCAGCTGAGGCTCCAGCTAAAGATGAAGGAAACGAACAGCACAATGGGAAAGGTGAAGAGCTTCAGGGGCATGTACACGCTCAGAATGAGGGATCGGAGCGACCACGAATGCAGCTGCAGGAGCTTCCATTGCTGTCGGCTGGGGCCGCCTTTGCCGAGCCAGGGAATCCTGCGCGGTGTTGCCGTCTGGCTGGCCGTGTGGTTTGTTGCACATTTCTTGATGTTGAGGCTCAGAGACTTTGGTGGGCGCACCGGGGCCGGTTTCGGACGGGCTGTCGGTGTTTTTTGCGCGGAAGAACATGGTCTCTGGGAAGCCGAAGATGATGACGACGAGGGAGGGGGCGGTGATGGCGGCGTTGAGCCACCAGAAGGAGGGCCAGCCTTTATAGTCGACCATGGCACCTGCGATGACGGGCGCAACCTACTACTTGCCAGTTTTTTTTGGTGTAAAACTTTCTTGTTCATAGTCGAGTTTCACCATCAAGGCGCCCGTATATGTGGCCCAGTACAACGTGTTCCATTTCCCGCGGTCGTGGAGGAAGAAGATGTCGGCGATGATGGTGGGCTAGATGGTCTCGCCTGGGCCGGCGCTGAAGCCGCTAAGGCTGGTGGTTTTAAGTTTTCTTTTGCTTCAGTGGGAAAATGGGAACGCGGCTCACATGGCTGCGCCCATGAACTCGTTGTAGCTGGACGCCTTGGTCCGCCAGATATGAGACGCAAGGCACACAATCTGGAACCAGATGAGGACCGGACGCCTCCCAAAGGACGTGGATATCGCAATCCTGATGTTTCGAGGTTAGGCTTTGGTAAGAGAGAGTGGTATGTTTAACCGTGGCCTGACCAGAAAAAGTTGCTAAAGCAAAAACCAGAATAGTGACGCCGGTGAACTGGATGACATTGGCCAGAGACCGGTTGTAGTCCTCCATCAAGTATCCGAACATGGGAGCCAGGCCAAGGGCGCGAGGCCCTGGGTAAAGGTCATGGTCGACACAGCAATCACACTGGAAGCCTCCCATGGCCGGGACCAGTTGAGCGGATCGTGGGGGCTCTGGCTGGGCTGTGGAACGAGGACGCGGTGACTGCTGTCGTTGCTCTTGACAAAGTGGTGGCTTCCAATGTCGGCCATGATCTCGGTCCCCGGGATGATATCAATGCGGAGATCGTCGCGCAGCGTGCCCGGCAACTCCTACCAAGGTTTTATTTTTAGCAACGCGTCCCCCGAGA